AATTTTGCAAACGTTTGTGAAAGAAATATTATTCTCTAGCAAATTAAGTGTCTTTTTTGCCTCGAGTCATATATTGTTTAACATTTCTCGTTTTACATCAGTGAGCGTGGAACAAGTGTTTTACATACTTTTGTAGAAAGTTAACGTTTTAGATATTCGCAATGAAAAAGTGAATTTATAAATAAAGATAAAGAAATATAACAGACTGACGCGTTTCAATTGTGTTTTGGATTTGCTTTTCTTTCTTTACCATTCTTCTTTTTCTTTTTTATCATTCCGAGCGATCATATCACAGAACACGATGACATGTTAAAAAATTGTTTGATAGGATAGAACGTTTACCCTGTTCTGCGTGTATAATTTCGAAAGGAATCTGAATTGGGAAACAATGTGTGTTACCATTTTATTATAAATGTTTCTGCTACATTTTGTTGGCTAAATACCGATCACCAGAAAACACTTAGCAAAGCTGTATGTACGTACCTATCTACAAATTGTCACGTGTATGTATTGCATATGTTTGCTGTGTGTGTGTGTGTGTGGGTGTGTGTATATGTGTGCGTGCAGGGCGAAGTGATGTCACTGGATGGATGACGAATCAAACCGAGCTGAACCGAACCGGATTAAACCGGATCGGAATCGGTATTTCTTTCTCCCTCTATCGTTTTACTACTTACATAATAGAAAAATCACAAAAGCTTTTCGCCGGTGCGGCGCGATGAGGGCAACCGCGCGACACGAGCGAAGCATGCGCTCGCCGGTTCGAATCGCTGGTATTATTCATTCAGCTTTTGGATCTTACGATTTACTTGTACAGTCTCCCTCTCAAACTCGAGTTATTTTTCTTAAACATCAATCATCAATTTACATATTTATTTGACAAAGCAAGCGAGCGGCGAGCGGCGAGCGAGCGTATGAACGAACGCACGAGCGAACGAGCGAACGTGCGAACGTGCGAACGTGCGAACGAACGAACGGACGAGCGAACGAACGTACGAACGTATGTGTATTTATATCGTAACAGTGAAGTACCGTTTTCTCGCCTACTTGCATCTTACAGGGATATATTATTAACGCTACTGAAGGATCTTATTCTGTAACATTAATTCATAATCGCTATGGTAAAGATACAGTTTTCTACAATATCGTGTCTTTTTTCTTTTTATAACGGCGACTGTACCCGGAATTATACACAGTGCTGCTTCATTGATACGCGTGGTCATTGCGAACAGGTTCTAAATTCTTTTTTCTTTTTTCTTTTTTTTGTTCTCTTTACTCTATTTCTTTATGTCTGTCTGTTTTCCCTCAGGTTCCTTCTCCATTTTTCTTCTATCTCTTTTTCGTTTTTTTTTCTTTTTTTCTTTTTATACAGAAAGAAATCGACGAAGGAAGAGCTTTCGGATCGTAATTTGGGCGGCGATATGATTTGTCAGGTGAATCTTATGTTCGCTGCATTATACGTATCATTCGTCCAAAATCGCGTCCGACGTTGGAAAAGTATTCGCATGGAGAATCCAGAAGATACGAATATCGCTTCAATGCGAAGCTTCGTTTACGACTAGTCGAACGACGAGCGACGAACGAATCTCGTTTGTAACTTATTTGGATAATAAAAGGAAAAATATTCATCATGGTGTTACACTTAAACGCTATACGGATAGTAGTTAATCGTAGATCGAAAACTTGCTTTTCCCGAATTCGTTCTACGAATGTGAGAACGACATTGTCACAGATCGTTGATAATAATACTTGGTCGTTATCGGTTGTTTCCGGCGACTCGAAAGAACTATGCACCGGAGAAACATCTGTTGAACAACGAATATTTTATCGAATCGAAAACGAAGGCTTTGCTCGACGTTTGGAGGCACGTTCGTGTTTGTTTAATGCGTGATAGAAATGTGAAAAAATCATTCAAGTTTTGCATTTATTTAAATAAATTAGTCATTGCCTGTCGTGTAACGTAGTCGATTCATCTTAGGCAAATATAAAAAGATCGCGATATTCGAGTCTCGAACTTTCACTCTTCCGTTTCCCTCCTTCTACTTTAGTTTCCCTTATTTCCTTTCTTTCCACTTTCTCTTCCCTTTACTCCCTTTTCGTTCAACCATCTCCCTTTCTTTCTTTCTTTCTTTCATTCTCGCTTTTGCCCTTTCTAATTCCACATTTGCATTCTTGGTGTGAGGCTTCATCTATTTGGTTAATTTAGTACCTTCGTATATTATATTACGTATATACACCAAGTCTCTCTAGTCGCCTCTACATTTACAGTAATTCCTAATTTAAGTTCATTCAACCGCGAATATATCTGCGAATAAAAGGTTAAATAGCGTAGTAGTGTATAGCCAATTACAATACTTAAATATAACCTTACATAGTATCCTTCGTAGAAATAACAGATCTCGTTATCGACGATGTCGTGCGCGTGTGCATATTTGCTAGGTATATCCCGGAAATGTTTCGGAGCAAAGTACTTGCGCATCATCACTCGTTCGAGATACCAGTAGATTCGATCGAAGATAAATCTTAAGTTACGGTAATTAGTAACTCCACTTTCTCTATCTCTTTCTGTCACGTTCAACATTCTGTCCTAACATTATTGGTATGCTATTAATAAGAATAAAAAAACAAATAATAATACTACTAATCATAATAATCATAATAATCATAATAATCATAATAATCATAATAACCATAATAATAATAGTAGTAGTAGTGACGATGACGATAATGACGATGGTGATGACCAGGTTGACGAGAGATGGCAAACGACGACGAGCTGACGACGAGAGCGACGATGATGGCGGTGGTGGTGGTGGTTGTAGTGATAGTGATAGTGATGGCAATGATAATGATAATGATAATGATAGTTGTGGTGGTGGTGGTAGTAGTAGTAAGAGTAGTAGCAGGAGTAGTAGTAAGAGTAGCAGCAGGAGTCGTAGCAGGAGTAGTAGCAGGAGTAGTACGAGTGTCAACAGTGGTAATGGTAGCGGGAGTAGCAGTAGTAGTAGCAGCAGGGGTAGTAGTAATAGTAGTGGTAGTGGTAGTGGTAGTGGTAGTGGTAGTGGTAGTAGTAGGAGTAGTAGTAGTAATGGTAGTAGTAGTACTAATAGTAATAATAAATAATAAATAATAGTAGAATAATAATAATAAAAATGATAATAATGGTAACGACGATGATGACAACGATGACGAGAATGACGATGACGATGCCGATGACGATGATAATGAGAATAATGAGAATAATGAGAATAATGATAATAATAATAATAGTAATAATATGAGTAGTAGTAGTAGTAGTAGTAGTAGTAATAGTAGTAGCAGTAGCAGTAGCAGTAGTAGTGGTGGTGGTGGTGGTGGTGGTGGTGGTGGTGGTAGTAGTAGTAGTAGTAGTAGTAGTAGTAATAATAAAAATAATAATAATAATGATAGTAATAGTAATTAATAATGCGTTGATTAATTTGGCTGACGCCTAAAATATTTCATAGTTTTAAACTTACGATATAGATAAAAAATGAAGGTAAAAACATTCGAAAAGGAAAATGATACTGCGCGTGCGTTCTAATTCGCTCGAATAATATTTTGGAACAGTTGAACTTCTCGTTTCAATGTTCAACGAGTGATAAGTGTGTAAGATGCTTTCGTTACTAGTACAAGTCTACGTATTCCTTTACAGATTTCTCGAGTAGTTCCATCGATTATGTACAAACAGACCGCTTGTCTTCTTAAGTGTTCCTTAAATATAAAACATAATTTGAAATGTCAACGTTGCGAAACGGAAAGACTCTCGACGCTGTAGATATTCTGCACAATGCGCGCTCGAGCGTACGCTTTTCAGTTACAAGTATCGTTTTATCTAACGAGTGTCTACCGTTCCTTATTCATTTTCCTCCCTTTGCTTACGTACCCTTTGCTTCTTTACTTCATCATTGCTCGTAAAAAAAGTTTCTGTTTTATTAATACGCATGATTAGGCACAGTTAAAATACAACATAGTATTCCCCGTTAGAAAGTTGAAAATTCGACGATTCAGCAGAAAGAAAAGAGAAACTACAAAACGAAGAAAGATCGAGTATAATTGCGTAGAAGACGCGAATATAGGATTGGTTTAAGTTACGCGAAACGACATTGAATTTTTCAGTTGTACCGGAAACAGTATTGTAACACCAAGAAAATTGCCCTGTATACGTAATACTGTAAACGCGTAGCGTTCCAACTTGATGACGACCGATCCGGTATGATCGAGAGAGAGAGAGAGTACGGTAAGTGAGCATGGCTCGAGCAACTAATTACGACGATGCGAACGATACCCTCTCGGTGTATCGAGCTTGTCGGATATCATTCTTTGCGTACAAACGAAAAGAATATCAAACTATTACCGCGATCATAGCGCTCGACGATGGTGACCTGGTCGCGCGATACCATTCGTTCGTATCATTTCGCTTTCTTTTCTTTTTCCTTTTTTTTCCCCTTTTTTTTTCCTCCATTCCTCCTTTCGCCTCTTTCCCCTTTTCCGTGGCCATTGGGTTCTTTTACATTTCTGTCTCATCAGCACCTCCATTCACTCCCAAACTTTTCATCGTATTGTTCCGCGTTCGGACAATTTCACGAACAACTGACCACTTGTGATTTCGTTTTGGCACTCGGGAGTATTTAAATTCGCACGTGTACAACGGTCACGGATCACAGTAATTTCGAGGCTTCCAAGGAATTAACAGTATAACGATGTAACCGCGTTGGTAGATCGATGACCGATGATCGGTGATCGGTGAGAACTTGATTCAGTCGACGTTACTTTCGCTGTTTGACTGCGTCAGAACCGAGACAACTGTTTAAACGAATATCTCCCGGGTATTGGCTTTGGAACGTGGATTGGAACCAAAACTGGAATCGGAATTGGAATTGGAATTGGCATCAAAATCGGAATTGGTATCGATATCGGCATCGGTATCGGTATCGACATCGACATCGGCATCGGTATCGGCATCGGTATCGGCATCGGTATCGGTATCGTTATCGTTATCGGTGTCGTTATCGTTATCGTTATCGTTATCGTTATCGGTATCGGTAGCGGTAGCGATGTCGGTATCGTTGACGAGGTTAAAGTCCCAGAAGAAGGGAAAATGAAAGTTGTCGGTAACCGTGAATCCGTGTCATCGATCACGAGAGCGTTATGGGTTGGCGCGAGTAGTTAAAGCGCCTGTTGTCGGCAGTCACAGCTTGAGCTCGTTTGCTATCTTGCTAGCAATGTTTTTGAAGCAGATCGAGGTGCCTGAGATCCGTTTGAAACGTACACCGTTCAAAGAAAGTCGTGGCAGTTTACAGACCTCGATCTCCCAATGTACTTGGCTATCTGTCGCCGCGTCACCATGTGCGCACAGCAGCAGGAACCTTTCGCGTTGTTCGTACTGGCACTCGTTGGCGTCCAATACCTAAAGAATCGATCGACGTACATTAATAAAGCCGTTTCTACTTACCGTTATCGTGTATTATAAATATCAAACAAAGTTTCAGCGAAATACGCTGCTACTGCTATACTCTTCTTTTACGTTATATACGACGAACACGAAAAATTTTTAGCATGCGATCCAGTGCAATACCTTTCGAATTTCGGACATGATTTCGTTCGGATCTCGACTACTCGTAGTTTTCATACTCCAAGTGAAACGTAGGCTGCGTGGTTTAACCTGCTCATCGTTAGTGGTTGCTCCGCTGTAACAAAAGAATGTTTTAAATTTGTTCGATCAAGTTATGCGCGTCGGTGATAGGAAAATTTTCGAGCGAGTGAAACGTATCGGTGAGTTTCATCGCAATCGCGTATCGTTACCGGTTTATAGCCTGTGTTCTCGCGTCATACCCGCGTCTCTGTTCGTCTCTGTTCCTTTTGCCCCCTCGTCGTTTAAACATCATTCCCATACTTAGCGGAACGCGTGCATTAAAATTCCGTAAGCCAATGATCGTTGTGGATGCTTCAAAGGACGCAACGTAAAAACGTGACATGCGTGCATACATGCAAGTTGTGTCGAATCACGTTGACACGTTTACAGGAATGAAAACTACTACGTTACTCTCGAGAAACGTTCTTTGCTTGCGATATAGAGGCCAGTTAAACATTATTCGAATTTGAAACAGAGGCAACAACATTGCGGCTTTGTAACATTTTCTTTCTTCTTTTCTCCATTCGATTCCTTTCGTTTCGCTTCATTTCGTTTCTACGGTTACACGCAACTGTACACGGAACCTCTTTCCTACCTACGAACCATTCAAAGCACTCGAATCTTTCCTTTCTTTCTTTCCCTCGCGAGCGATCCACTCGTCGGATAACCAAGAAAACAATCCTTCTCGGCCTAACGCGTCCATTTTTACATTTTTACCTCCAAGGGACAAGAGAAGTAGGAAAAGAAAGATAATTGCAGAGAGACATCGAGGCAGATAGCTAGATAGATGGTTAGATAGACGGATAGATAGACAGACAGACAGATAAACAGGTAGATAGATAGAGAGAGAGATAGATAGATAGATAGATAGATAGATAGATAGATAGATAGATAGATAGAGAGAAAGAAAGAGAGAGAAAGAGAAGAATTTTTAAGCTAGAATCAATCTTTGTGTTTCAAATAATTTATTGAGAATTATTGTCAATATTTAACCACTTGCGATGGCAAGAAATTCACAGTTTCATGTGCGAGAACGGTCCAGTGTTTCGGTAACAATTACCTAACGACGTGTGTACCACGTGGTTG